CCTTACTTCTGTGCTGCTGCTGGTGGAGCGCTGCCTTCAGAGCTGGGTGCCTGGCCAACAGCCTCCGCTCTCTGGCTGCCCAGCTCTGAAGGCAGCGCTCCACCAGCAGCAGCACAGAAGTAAGGGTGGCAATACTATACCATGCCACCCTTACTTCTGCACTGCTGCCTTCAGTGTTGGGCAGCAGGAGAGTGGTGGCTGCTGACTGAGGGCCCAGCTCTGCAGGCAGCAGTGCAGAAGTAAAGGTGGCAGTACCATACCATGCCATCCTTACTTCTGCATCGCTGCCAGCAGCAGTACAGAGGTAAGGGTAGCAGTACCGCAAACCACGCACCCACAATAACTTTGCGATCCCCCCACAACTCCTTTTTGGGTCAGGATCCCTACAATTAAAACAAAGTGAAATTTCAGATTTAAATAGCTGAAATCATTAAATTTACGATTGTTAAAATCCTATGACCGTGAAATTGACCAAAATGGACCGTGAATTTGGTAGGGCCCTATCTATTAGCAGCACTCTGTAGATTGACTGAACATAAATACCTACAGTCATAGAGTGTATGAATGTAATGGGGGGGGTGGGGAAGCTGATAATGATATAGACCTGTTCTGCAGGAGAAAATATCACCGTTATCACCTTATTGATTGTGGGAATAACATAACTATATTGCACAAAGTGACATGCTACTCCCTTCATTCAGAAAGATTTATTTGAGATCTCTGGAGCCTAGACCAGGGATCTCAAACTCAAATCACCACGAGGGCCACATGAGGACTAGTACATTGGCCCGAAGGCCGCATCATTGAAACCTTTTCATGCAACGATACAAAAGTATAGTAAAAAATGAAGAGCAATATAATATGCTATTAAAAGTCAATGTATTAACTTTTTAAAAACTGTAATGCGAAAAGTCAATGCTAATTTTGACAGTCATTTCATTTTTGGCCACTTAGCTGGCAGCGTTAATTTGTTAATTGTATGAGTTAAAATTTTTTTTTGTCAGCCTGTGGTGGGGTGTCCATCCCATACAAGCCCTGAGTGGGTAAATGTGGGCCAGAAAGGGCCAATTAACCTTATATGTGGCACCTGGAGGGAAGCCAGGGATTGATAAGAACTAATGGAAGATGAAGCCCAGCACGGGGAAGATCTGGGCTAGGATGATAAAGCCAGGAAGTGACAGCAGGAAGGAGGCTGCAGGGTGGAGGTCTGCAACCACTCCCTAGAGTGAAAGGGAGTTGGCTAGAGACAAGGAGGAGGTTAGGAGGAGAGTAAACCCAGTGGTTCTGTCCCGGTGGTTCTGTCTTACAAGAGGCTTAAAAGGGTGGAGTACCCACAAGGAGGTGCTCCTGCGGTGAGTGGACCCCTTTACACAGATCTGCAAATGTATCTTGTAATTTCAGTCCAGCAGTGTTCTTTCTCACTCATGCTTCTTCACCAGTACTACATTCTGCAACTGGAATTTAGGGTCTTGTCTAACTCCCATTGAAATCAATGGAAAGAATGGCATTGACTTCAGTGGGGGTTGGATTAGACTCATAGTCAAAAGTTCTGTTGATGATGCATAAACCAGAATAGCATACAGCTCATGCTCCCCCTCCCTGCCCCTATTCTAACTCCTTCCCCAAATCCCCGCCCTGGCCCCACCTCTTCTCCACCTCCTCCCCTGAGCACGCCACATCCCTGCTCCTCCCCACTCCCTCCTGGAAAGTCCTAAACACTGCCAAACAGCTGTTTGACAGCGGGAAGCGCTGGTAGGTAGGCAGAGGAGCGGGGACATGTCACACTGGGGAGGGAAGTGGGGGGGAGTCAGCGGCTATGGCGGGCCGCAGGAAATAGCTCCGCGGGCTGCATGCAGCCCATGGGCTGCGTGTTTGAGACCCCTGGCCTAGACTGTCTTATTTTATCTGTTTATACAGAATTGTGATGCTTTGGGGATCACCTAGACCAATAAGAGGTTCTGTCATTGCCAGTCCAGTAATCTTAGGGCCCTTTGTGTTGTGCAGCTCTGGTTTCATTCCTTGACACCAGGAGCCACCCAACAAGCACAAGGTCTCACCCATGCTCTTACCAGCTTAGTTACTCCTTGCAGGGTGACACCAACAGGTCCTGAGTCTCCCTAAATCTGTCCTTCTCAAGTTCTTAACTATCACACACCCTGACTGTTCCCCCTCTGGTTCACCACCCCCAGTTTGTGAAACCAGCCCCCACATCACCACTTCACTTTGGGGGGGACACTTCACACAGTTTTCACAACAGAGACCTGCCTGGGGTAAAAACAAATAAAAATTTATTTAATAGAAAAGCCAGAGATTCAGAGATGAAATAGGAAGGGAAAGCAAACATATACAGATTATAGACACAATCTCAGACTTTACGCTTCCATATGAGATAAAATCTCTTTTCTAATACAAGTTACCCATTGCCTTTGAACAGTTTCCCAGCAAACCCTTTAACCATAGGGAGGATCCAGCATTTCATGTACAGCGTCTGCCAAGTGACTGTCCCTCAGTTTCTGGATGTCAAACCACAGACACAAGTCTGTTTTTTAAAGGCTTTTTTCCCTTTTGTTTTTTCCCCCTCTTAGAAATGGGATGTCTGTGTCTTTCCATAACTTTAGTGGGCCATGGCTGTCCTTTCTTGGGCTGGACAGTGGATGGGTACTTGAAGTGGTTTCATGTAAACAACTGGCTTGGGAGGTGTCTCTACCTGTCTGATCGCTCACTGCCCTGCTGTGAGGTGCAGTCAAAGCTTTATGAGCACAGTTCTCTATATACACAAATACAAATCCTCTGATTATTAAAGTTTAGAACATTACAAGCTTTCATAAAAGACCTTACTCAACGTGTTTTTATAGCACAATAACATTCTATACAATCAGTCGATTCAACTGCTTATTCTTTGGGGTTCAAATCCCTTGTTCTACTTCGAGGTGTCTGGACCCTGATTGTCACAAGCTTGTAGTACACCAGGCTCAGATTAACTGAGGCCTCTAAGATGCTACTGTAATACAAATAATGAATAACAGTAATAATTTGTACATCCCAACCAGCCATTCAATGCAAACCATCAGAATGCCATCACAAGACAAAGCCTTTTGCAGGTGCAGGTGTGTGAAAATGGAGGAGTTAGTCCCATGAATGCCCATGGACACATAAATCACAGTCTAGCAAAATAACACATATGTGGACCTTGGACAAACATAGTACATCTTCTCCGGGTGCCCAGTCCGACTTCCACTGAAGGCAATGGCAAAACTTCTATTTGGTCAGAAGATAAGGCTTCCAGGAAAAGTGAGAAGACTGTGATATAGAGGATGGTGTGGACTGTGTATGGGGCTCAAAGGATGTATAATGCCTGGTACAATGGGGTCATGGTCCATCACTTGGGCTCCTAGGTGCTACTACAATACAAATAATAGTAATATTTCATAAAGTTTTATAATAATACCTTTATTCAATGCCAAATGAAGACCAAAAGGAACATCTCTACTGAGCAGGTTACAAAATACAAGGCATGGCACAATTTCATATTTTTCTTGTAAATGTGTGTGATGGATCAGAGAAACTTCATACCAGCAGAAAAGGGGTTAAAGAGAGCCTATGGGCCCAAATAGCCCCATCCTGCTACACCTGCAGCCAATGCCAGGCCTGGAGGGGGAAGAAAAGGAGAGAAGCTGGCTCAGTTCAGGGCTGACTGGCGAAGAGGCAGGAGATGGTCCTGCCTCTCTACTGGAGGGGTGCCATCATTACACACCTGACAGACAGGACAGCTGCTGGGGGAGAAGCACTCCTGACTAGGAGAGACTGTTGAGGAGACTGGGGAGCACCCAGCAGTGAGTGAACTTTACTATTTTGACTTTGAGGACATTGTGGGGCTTACATCCACACTGACCAGAGGACCTGAGGCTGTGGCAGGATGCAGCAAAAGCTCCACGAGGGGGCGCTACTCAAGTTGAGCCACTACAGACTGGATGATAGGGGCTATGCCCCAAAGTGAAGGGACATAGGGAGGAAGTAGCCCAGGGCAGTGGACTTGAATTCTCTATTCAGAGGATCCTGCTGGCATTGCTTCCCATGGGGCCATGGGCTAGGACAAGGTAGAGAGGGAAGGCCGGGGTCTCCCTACTGCACCCCTTT